AACGAAGTATGTTGAAGCACTATCAAATGGCAAGGGGGTAGAAGACAAACGCGTGGCGCATCTCAATCCCGTTGAGCAGCTTTGCTAGATGAACAAAAAAAATAAGATTAGACAAATGTTGCCAGAGTTCAACAGGGATATCATGAAAATTAGCACAGTTTTGGTTCAAAAAAGGTTTAGGGTTCCCAAAACCAGCAGTTAGATTGAAATGTTGCCACCAACCTTCGCACGACATCAAAATCGCCATATTTGGCAGCGAAAAGCAGCGAGACGACGATTTCGGTGTCTCGATTGCCGATCCTCCGTCGAGGATCGTGTTTCTTTGAATCGGCGTGTAACAGACTGTCATAGTTGTGGAAGTTGAACGATTCAATCAGCTTCTGAAATGGAACTGACCTCTTGACTTAGACCTCTTTGGCCTCTTAGCTCTTTTGACGCAGATAGTAGCTGGTAACCCACCTGACAGAAGGCAACTCCACGTGCTGAATTACCCAACCTGTCCAGTGGTGGCGAGTAAAGAGCGATACCCATTAGATTTGGAACAACAACGATCATCACTCCAGAAACGCCAGATTTCGCCGGCAAACCGACCTAGAAAGGAAGTTGCTATATTTTTGTCTTCTTAAGAGTGCGCCATGTACATGTTTTCCGTTTTATATCGTCAAGCCTAGTAGAGACTGCATCGACTGGCAGGTACTCTTGGATTAGGAATGGGCCATGTTCGAAACTCTCTTATGAAAAAAAGGAGACATCCCTAGCAGCAACAGTTGTATAAATATTGAAGCTGCATGGCGCAGTGGCTACAAATGCAACATTGCTGCCCTAAGGCCTAATTCAACTCCACAGAGGCTTGCTTTACTTCCTAGCAGCAATCTGGGTGAGTCTTCCGTCATTTCGAAGGCATTGGCTGTGATAAGATCCTTAAAGATACCCTCTCTTTGAGTGAGGTAGCAAGGTCCGTAATCACAGGGGTGGTGGTACTGTCGCGACTTAAAAGGGCGTGACAAGGGAGCCAATGTTTTCGCTGGACCGCCGCGACCGCTGCCATTCTTGCGTGACGATTGCGCCCTCTGCGTGACGTTTGCGCTCTCTCCGCGACCGCTTGCCATCTGCGTGACGAATTGCGCCTTTGGCGTGAATCGTGCGCTCTCTTGCGTACAACGTAGTCTCTCGCGTCATTTCTTTCTAAGGGAGCGTAATCCGCCATACCGCGCCTGAAATCTGACAAGCAAAATTTCAATGTTTTCCGAAATGCTTTTTACTTTTTTACCCATTGACATTCCGCTTCGCGCTTCCTCCCTGATTATTGAATAAAACGACACACCATTTCGACCGCGACCCGTGCCTTTAAGCTCAAATAGTTTAGAGGGCCAACAAATCAAATGAAGTTTCAATCAAATGAAAATGGGCATATGCTTAGATTTCTCACTGAAGCGACATCCAAACGTTTTCACGAATTTAAAAGAAAAACGATCGAATGGCGTATACCTTAGAACCTTCATACCGTAACCTCTCCCTACTACCATCAATTCTTTCTTCAGCAAAGTCTTTACTTTCAACCCAAACAAAATGGAGATCTGCAAGTGTCGATTTTACCTGGAAGGCAAATTTCCCAGAGAAATCGTACATTCCACAGGAGTACATGAGTGAGAGGACGTCTCGACATGGACGTGGATGAATGCAAAGCTCATCAGTAAGCGGACAAACACCTGAATTACCGAAATGAGCAAGGCTTTACTGATTACGGTAAGAAGATTCTGGGAAACGCTCACCTCCATTTGCTAGGGTGGCCGCCATCACAGCTGCTGTATCACAGTTAGTTTCCAAAGAGCAAAGTTGAAAATAGAGATCTAATTCTTCACGAAGACCCTAAAACTACCAAGGTACTTCAGGTACTCAAATAATCGTTCCAAAAACCAGCTTTCCTCTCGATATACCTGAGTGCCCGGTGGGAAGCACTTATTCTCCTTCATGTAGTATGAGAGGGCATAGTTACGATCGGCGGTGTCTCTTTCAGAGAGGAATCTAAACAAGGGCCATTAGTTTCCAAGAAAATGACTCGTAAAGTTCATAACTCATTACTACGAAGAAGTGAAAAAACTCGACGGGAGGTAAGCCAACCTTGAAAACCACTTCTAAGATGCGCCATGCATTTTACCCCTAGTGAGGACAGTTATGTTATTTGAATGCGAATTTAGTTCATACACACACGTGGACACCCTTTGAACTTGCCTAGGCCATCCAGACGCTTCGTGAGGTTGACATACGGGACCAAATGGTCTCCAAGAAATCGATTTAATCCTCACTGAAAAGTGGCCATCACCTAAACAACTTGCTAGGGAGGAAGGTCTAGCTTAGGGGGAGGGATTCAGACCCGGGTACCCACTTGAGTAGCGGCACTGTGTACCCATCTGGTCAATACTACCGATTGTGC